GAATAAACTCCACAATTTTATGAAATTGAAAAGGAATTAAAAAAAATCAGCAAAATAATAATGTTTACAAGGATGAGATTTCAAGAGTTCGTAAGAGGAACAGTTATTTGATGAAGGCCCTGCACAAGACATTAAGCGGTGCTGAGAAATTTAAATTAAATAGTTTTTTCCTATATGTGACAAATTGATTTTTGAATTAAAAATGAAAATGCAAGCGTATGATTGTGTATATAAAACTTTTGGTGTATTTTTTGTTGGACCCTCAAATGAAGTTAAAAAAATATAAAAAAATATTACAAAATGGATGTGGGTGCTAATGAAGATTTAGTGGATGAAATTGTACAATTTAAAGCACTTTGTAAATCAAATAATATTTTTTCTAAAGACCCCCAGGAGAAGATTAAATTTTTAAAATTGATAAAAATATATTGTTGCGTATATATTTAACTATTCCTATTAATAACGCATCAGGCGAGAGATCATTTTCTACGTTAAAACGGGTAAGAAACTCATTAAAGAAAAAAAAATGTTTCATCGTTGCCTATTCTAAACGTAGAAAGTGATAAATTAGAAATAAATGGTATCATAGATAAGTTTTCTGAAATGAAAATACGTAAAAAAAATTAAGTAGATGTTTTTTTATTAATTATTATTTATTTTGTTCGTTGTTCCTTAATAGCAGAGTTTTTTTGTTCTGTTGTTCATTTCAGTTAGAAATTTTGTATCGTATCGTTTAAATATAATTTTACTTTTGTGTACGAGAAAATTAAAATATATATATATATCAAATGCAATTTTTTTCAGTTTTTTATGATTTTTTTTTTCAGTTTTTATAAAACATTTATGTTTAAAACGAATTAAAACTATACCATTTGATACATAATTAATTCAAAATTTGTTTTACGCATCCAAAAGGCCACAATAATTTTGCCAATTTAAATTTCGTACAAAAAAATAAAAATAATAACGTGCTTCTTTTAAACGTTGTCAGTTTCCTATGAAAATTTTTGTTGTTTTGACTATATTTATATTTTTTATTTTGCAGTAATTTTTGCACTTTTTGCGTTATTTATAGGCTGCTAATTCTTGTCTGAGAACTCTTAAACAAAGGTAACCTTTAAAAGGTTTTTTCTACTCCCACCTTTAAAACGCCCATGTTTCCATGACACTAAGTGACCTTTTAAATACACATTGACAAATTGTGACTTTATGGCGTGTTAGTCACGGGCTGAAGTTAGAAACAGGTTTTTGGTTACGGGCTGAATTTAGTTTTAAGTTAGTTGACAGTTGTCAAATGTCATAAAATCGTTAAAATAAAGTGCCTTTCCTGTAAAATAATACTAAATGTGAAAATTATTTTATTATCTCAATACAAAAGTATTAAATAGTTTCTCAACGCCAATATTTGAAAAGTTTACCTATATGAACATTGTACTGACCTTTTAATTTCCCCGGCTGTAAACTATAACTTAAATTCGGGCACGGACTCCACTGTTAAGTGCTCATAAAACATTTTCTTTACTTTCACTGTGAAAACATTTCGATTTATAACCTTTATAATCTGTGTTTATAAAATATAAAAATTTGACACACAGATTCCCCTATTGTTTCATAGATGGCGCTCTATACAATTTTTTGATTTAAATCATTTTAAGATAATAATAAGTATTTGTCGTAGAAAAAGTATAGTATGCACCTCATTTATAAACTTTTCTATACACTCATTAATTAAGGCACTCGCTCGCAAGCTCGCTCGTGCCTAGATTAAATTCGTGTATAAAATGGCGTTTATCAAACTTGGTACATAATATACTATTATATCCAACATAAAAGCCTTAAATCAAAAAAGCTAAAATAGTCAATTTTCCAGTACCCTAACAATTCTATACATCAATAGGTATATAATTTTCAATTTATCGTTTGATACGATAGGTAGGTACCATTTGACCGATTTTTAATACAATATTTTTTTACTCACCTAAAGGGCCACAATAATTTTTGACAATTTTGTTTTAGTACAACAAAAATGTAAATAAAATGCAAGTTGTCAATTTCTATAATTTTTTTATTCATAATAAGATAAAATATGCCATTTGACATATTTAAGCAAACATTTAGTTTAAGCACCAAAAAGGCTTTGATTATATTATATTTTGCTTGTTGATGACAAAAAGGTTAAAAAATTAATAAAATGCTATTTTTGTCAATGTTGGCAGTTTTTGAAAAACTAAAAACTATATGTGGCCAGGGCTTCTAGTAAAAAAATTGAAAATTTTAATGATATAATGACTTACTTTTTTAAAAATAATGACAAAATAATGACTTTTTCTTTTAAAAATGACTATTTTATGACTTTCTATCCTAATGAAAATAAATTTTAAGTTGGAAAATAGTATTAAAACCTCCTTTTAAATAGTTTTATTCTTAATCTTTATTGTTTTAACAATAACATGATAAAATTAATTAAAATAAATTAACAAATAAATATAAAATTAAAAAAATTAACTTAAAAGAATTAGCAAATTAATTAAAATAAATTAACAAATAAATATAAAATTAAAAAAATTAACTTAAAAGAATTAGCAAATTAATTGGGGTTTCAATTTATTTATTTAATTTTTACTTACATGATTACATATTTTTAATGAATAAAACGTTTCGCTCTCGAGCTCTCGCCTTTTAGGTTAAGCAAAACAATTAAAACACGCACTCTTTAGAAGAAAATGGCGGGAGTGTGTGTGAGACACAAGAATGAAAAAAAGAATGAGCAACAAAAAAAGAATTATATTTACAACTTATTAACAGGTGTCACCAGCGCGGCACTACCATTGGTGTAGATTAATAAATTAAAGTGGCGTAGATTTTCCATTTTATTTGAATTATTTACCAAAAAAATCTTATAAACATTAAGTAAGAACCTAAAATAATGATCAAAAATGACCAATCCCTACAAAAAATGACATTAAATGACCACAACAGAAAAAAATGATTTTTAATGACTAAAATGACTTGCTAGAAGCCCTGTGTGACAATAAAGTAGGTAGGCATTTAAAATAATTTGAGCAAAAAAAAATTACGAAAAACAAGCATAACTAATTATAAACTTATTCATCCTATTAAAATTAGGCAACCATGTTTTACTGGATAGTACAAGTAAAAAATATCGCTTATAAAAATGTCGATATATATAATTTGGATATAAAAATTTTACTTATGGGCACCGACTTAGGCACACACAAGACCGTGCATTTTTCTTAATGTAACGGCAATTATAGGATCATTTGCAAAATATTGTTACCTTAAATGCAGCAATTCTCTTATTAACATAACCATTTACCAAAATTAGCTGGACAAAATTTTGAGGTTAAATTCTGGATTGACAGAATGCACTTTCTTGCACGGAGATAACTGCAGTTCTTATGTTTGGGAATGATTACCGAAAAATCAAGTGAACAGCTTTAAGAGTGAGTGCTTGTAAGTTTTGGTAAAGATTCCCAAACTGTTAGGTTTAAACCCGAGTTTGGGAATCATTACTAAACATACAGGCGCTCACTCTTAAAATTGCCAATCGGTTCTCATTCCCAAATAGTTATCTCAGTGTGCAAGTTTATTTTGCATAAAATAAATATTTGGTTGTTGTTTAATTTGAATTTAATTTTTGAAAACAGTAAAATTTATTTTTATTTGCACCACATACTGTAAAGAGTGGCGAATATTCTAGAGATGGGAATCGGAAAGTTTCCATTTTAAGGAAACTTTCCGTTTTGGAAAGTTTCCAATTGGGAATTTATTTTCATTTTGAAAGTTTCTTTTAAGCTACCGGAAACATTCCTTGGAAACATTCCTTGGAAACTTTCCTTGTTTTTTTCATTTAAATGTCAATTGTTTAACAGCTGATTTTCGTTAAGGCCATGATACAAGGCCAAGAAACTTTTAATAAGAATTTAATGTGTGTTAATTTAAAGCAGAAGAAGAAGTATAAATAATGTAAGTTAATAACTTAAAGTTATGTTCAGAGATAAACATGTTACATAACCTCAATGAAGCCGGATTATTCAGCATCATCACAAAAAACTAAACTAAAATACAGCAATAACACTTTTATTTACCTGTTTGGTTTTAAAAAAATCCTATTTTGTGTTTTTTACTTTTGCTATTTTTTTATGTGCAATGGTAGTCACTACTAGTCAGAAATGTTAATTTTATTTTGCCTCTAGTTTTTTCTTTCATATTTTATCAGTCAGAACTGCAATACTATTTTTAGTATCTTTTACTTTTCAATATTCCTATATATTAGTTACTTTGTCCCTTTTAATTTTTTTTACGTATAATTCACTGCTAGTAAATCCTAGATATTATAATATCTAGGATTTACTAGCAGTGAATTTCTAATAGTAAACATTTTATTTTTATTTTGTAGGTTTCAGTATACAATAGGAATATTCCAAAGTAAAAGATACTAAAAATAGTATTGCAGTTACATTCTTATAAACATTTTTTTAAATTTTTTTTCTTAATAAAATTTGACAAAAAGTTAATGTGTTATATATTTTTGCAAATCCCTGGCATAAAAAAAATATTTTCGCAATAAAAAATTTTTTTTTGAAACTTTCGGAAAATTTCTGGAATTTTCGATGGAAAGTTTCCGGGAATTTTCGTCAAATGGGAATTTTCCCATCTCTAGAATATTCCACAATTACATTTAGAGCTTACCACGTCATATTATGTCAGTTATTGTTTAGTTCATAAAAATTGGTAATGTTTTTAATTTTTAATAAAAATTATTAAATTTCGTATAGTACTAAATCCATTTAAACTTTTGTAAAATAATTTAAATATAGATTGAGATAAAACTGTACAATTAACAATTAACTCCAGATTTCAAAAGTTAATAAAGATTAAACTTCAACAAAACTTTGGTTGTACGTTTGTCAAAGAGTGTATATTATTACATTTACAACAAAAACTACAATGGCAGATAATAACTTTGAAGTAGTTACCTAATTCGTGGATCAAATCTAATGTCGGAATTTCCACCAGATCGACCCCCCAAGAGGCACACAAGGGACGACTGTTCCGCAACAACTTCCAAATCCAGGGATTGTCCTGGAAGCCACCACTCCCTCTCTTCCACATTCACGTAAACCTGAAACAATGCAGGGGCTGTTTTAATCTTGTAGGGATGAAAAACAATTAGAAGCGGGCTAAAAATTCAAAACACAACAATTTAAATCGTAATTTGGTTTAAGTTGGCTTCGAATTTAGGGATTATGCAAAATTAATAAAGATGAGTTTTTTATTAACTAGCAGATAAGGTTATCTTCGTATTTTTTTACAAAACAAAATTTATGATTTATTTGAAAAATAAAAATTTAGAAATTTTAAGATATTTTAAATAATTTACTACTACAGGGGCCTCAAGTTTTTTAATAAAGGGTATTTCCATTGTAACAGGTGCGACACTAAAACTGCGATTTTTCATGATAAAGTGTTTGTTCATATACGAGGTGTGTTCAGAAAATAACTTGAATTGTTAAATTTCGCGGGTTCGGAGGGTCCGGTTGTGATAAAATTTTCTTTATTATGTTGGTATACATGCCCCCGAAGTATGATAAAAACTTTAGCTGGTTTCATCGTTTACTTTGTCTGTGGCAGCCGCTAAGGTTAGACGTGTTTTATGAGCTCGGCGATTTTCGTTCGTTAAAAGAAATGGATCAAAGAAATTTGGATATAAACCACCAAAGAAGTCGCTGATGATGTTGGTATATCGATTGGCTCATCTCATGAAATTTTTTCAAATGTTTTGGTTATGAAACGCGTGGCAGGAAAATTTGTTCCAAAATTGTTAAATTTTGAACAAAATTTTTGTCCAAAAACAATACTGTAATGATGCCTCAGCCTCCATATTCGCCAGACATGCCTCTGTCTGACTTTTTCCTATTCCCAAAAATAAAGAGAACCTTAAAGGGCCGTCGTTTTGCAAGCATAGATGATATTAAAAGCGCATCGCTGAAAGAACTAAAGGCTATCCCAAAGATCGAGGTTTAGAAGTGTTTCGAGTATTGGAAGAAGAGCTGGCACATGTGCATAATATCCAATGGGGACTATTTTGAAGGCGACAACATTAATGAATACGAATAAATAAATGATTTTTTCAAAAAACGAAAATTCCCGATATTTCCTGAACACACCTCGTATATCAAGATACGTTAATTTAAAAAAAAATAGTATAAAAATTAGGTATTTAACTCAAACAAAATGTCAATAAAAACTTGTATAGAAAACCTTTTATAACGTCCTGAATGCGTAACGGGCGCGACCTTAGAAAATCGACAAATGCGACCAAGTTGGCTTCTAAAGTTGATACTTTAAAATTTTGGATGAAAGCATATAGTAATAATTGTTTATGTAAAACTTGAACAGTAACCTTAAACAAGCACGTATTTTAAATGCAAAAAAATTGCATACTTTCTTTTCTAAAACTTTCTTAAAATGTAACGGGTGCGATATTTGAACATTTTATCTAGTATTGAAACTCTTCCGTATTTATTCTTAATGTTAGCTCTTTAGTATTACAATGTACGAATATTTTAAGGTTATAAATTACGTCGCAATTAAACTATTTGACTTCAGATATAGTTGATTTTTTGTCAAGGTGGGGTAAGGTTTCGTGGAAATACCCTAAATGATAAATGGCTTTTTTTAGTTTCTTTTAAAATTTATTTATTTTATAACATTTAATTTGTTAATATAAAGTGTGTAGCGAAAATGTTATAAAAAAAATAGAAAACAATAAATTGAATATTTGCTTAAGCAGCAAATAAATAAAAATAATACAATTTTATAAAAACAACTCATTAACCCTAGAGGCAACGTTATCACTCGCATCCCGGTAATTTTTTTTTCGACCGAGTCACGATTTTTGCTGTTTAAAAAAATATAGAGGTATTATGTTTGTTTATTGTTTATTATGATAAAGAAGTAGCAATACGAAACTAAAATATTTTTTAGTACCTAGTTTAAAACATGACAAAATAAAATTGTTTAAAACATAACAAAAAATATTTTCTAAATAAACAAAACAGAAAAGGAAAAAAGTTAATTATTCATCTACTTCTTTGCAGCCCACACAAGTGACATCTAGCTTTAGTTTTTCTATTTTTTGCAGATGTGCAGTAGGCACACCTTCCGATAACTGTTTATTGTCTAGTTATTGGAGGCTCCTCAATTTTCAAAATCCTTCGAATACCAGTTTTTAAGTCTTTTAATAAGTTATCGATAAGCAATCTTTTTGGCATATAATCTTTACACAATTGTTTGCTCAAATATTTAAGGTTTGCTCAAATATTTAAGATATCTTATGATATTAGATTTTGTATTTGGTCTGCTTGATCGACATCGCCTAGTTATAATCGAAGGTTTTTTTTCATCTTCTGTGTCCTTTGTCATTATCGTGATGCCTTGAAGACAAAAGCATTTTTGTTTTTTTTTTGGTATATACCTACGATAGCAAAGTTAGATCAGTTTTAAATCCAAATAAAATTAAACATATTTCCCTGCCCTGAAAAGTTCGAAATTCTTGAGAAATTTCCGCCTTATTTTTTCTGATCGTCCCTAAACTGTCAACTTTTCTTTGACCAAATCTTTGACAAGTTGCACTGACGTGAACCAGTTGTCCATTGTAATAGTTCGTCCTGACTTCAAAATAAGTTGTGTAGTGACGATCGACTTCAAAAATTAATAGCCATGTCAACTCCATTTGGACATTTTGAAAGATCGTTTACCCATGTACTTAAAAAAATTATGATCTTAAAAGTCACTTTTTTAAACACTAGCTCCCTTTTCTTGGCTCGCGTCCAATATATAATTTCAGTGTTTTAAAGTTATCGGGTACCATGTACCCGGTATCTACTATTGTACATAATTCTTCCTATTCTTTTACTTCTTTTTTTGTTCAAAAAAGCTCTGATTTAAATTGATATTCAATAACTTTGCGTTGCAAGTTGTTTCATAGCAGCGGTTTGTAAGTGCCAGGGTTTTTATACTAACACGATATTAACAAATGACTTTTTGTGGGTGTTTGCCTACTCGCGCCCAGCGACTGTAAATCCCCACCATATTTCTTACAAAAACGTATTAAAGGGGCTCGTCTAACTAACTTTGATTCGAGAATTTTTAGACTCGTCACAGTCAAAGTTGGAAAGATTCCACTGTACTTGGCCTCTCCACGAGCGATAAAAATGCCTTCATATTGCCCTTCTTTATCTTACAAGACTGTAAAAAAGTGTTTAACATTATGCGGGCATTTTTTTATCTAAAAATTAATGTGCCTAGGCTTCGGGCAGCATAGAAAGGATTGGCGGGCCACATGCGGCCTGTGGGCCGCAGTTTGAGTATGGCTGTTATAGACTAATTAATTTTTAGAGAGTACGGTCTACCACGGAGGTCTATCCTGAGCCCTTTATGTTATCTACGAGTTGTTTTATGCATCGATTGATTTTTGTACAGCTCACGCTAATGATACTCAATTTTACTTAGCTTTAACGTTTTTGACTTGAATAATGTAAACAACTAATTATTAGGATTTTCCACGGCTAAAGATTATAGTTTGTCAATAAATGCTTAATATTCATCACTTGTAATATTTTCGAAACTGAACTTATACGAATACATAATGTCAAATATAAAAATTACAGTAGAGGGTGGACAAGTTAATTCCGTTCCTAAAGCAAAAAAAAAAACTTGGACTTATTATGGATACAGATTTTGAGGTTTATACGAGCTTACAGACGATGACAGCAACATATTTTTATATAATCTTAGTAACAGGTGTGATTTATTATATTTATTTTGTGTTCTACTATAAATAGTTTATTTTTGTTTTAAATATAAACAAGTTTTACCGACATTTATATACACTACTAACCAGTGGCGTGCAGGACGGGCCCCGCAGGGCCCGCGGTGCGGGGGGGCCCCCGACCCTAGGGGGGCCCCGTAGAGAACCACATTGGGTGGTATAAGTGACAAAGGGGCCCCAGCTCAAAATTTGCGGGGGGGCCCCCGATCACCTTTGCACGCTACTGCTACTAACTATAGTTAGTTACTATGAATAGCTTTGTTTTCTTTTCGGAATTATTTATGTTACCTATCAACTTTATAAAGTTTTATTTGTTTTAAATATTTAAATTTATATGCTTGCCTATTATTTGAAATAACAAATTGTAAGTACATGATTCTTATTATTAAAATATTTTATTTCATGTGTCGACTTTTTATTAAACTTAAATAATTATAACAACATATTTCTTGACATTTTACTTAATTTGTCGACTTTTTAAAAAAAATTTACTAAAAGCCCAATATTATCTGCATTATTATAATTTTTAGTTTAACTAAAGAAACTAAATACCTACTGATATCTTCTAAGGAAGAAAAAATACATTTGAGAACAGTACTCAGCAGTGAATGCTGTCATGAATTCATTCTCCTGGCTACTGATATTATTCATATGCCAGGAGAATGATTACCAGGAGAATTTCAAGTATTTTTACAGTCCGTTTAGGCTAAGTTGAGCGCTGTGTGGGGAATCATGTGGCCGTTGATTAAATTAAATATCGAATCGTCGCGAGATTTCGGTAACAAGAAGGTGATTAATCAGTGTCGCGGCTTGCCGTTTGTTCGTACAGAGCGGCTACCGAAATACAGGTATTTAATTGTGCCTGAAAATAGACATTCCTTAGGCCGCTCAAATTAGCCTGAACGGACAGTATTTTATACGTTATATACTTTCAAAAATGTGTGGTTAAGATAACTAAAATATTGTAAAATTGTATTGTTAAAAAATCTATCTGACAAAAAATATGTCACAACAATTAATAAGATCCAGGAGAATGATTTAGGATAAAGTGACATTAAGGCCCAGTTGTATAACAGTTGGTAAACAGCTGGTTAACTCTTGATAATAATTATGTAATGATTAAGCTAACTTTCAAGTTGTATAAACATTGATTAAAATTTAATTTAGTGATCAACATACAATTAACAAATCGGTGAATTTTGTGTGGTTAACGCCGGGTTAGAACACACATAACCTTATAAATGTCAACGTTTAAAAATTTTCATTATTTTTTTTGTTAGTATTTATCTGTGGTTAGCATTAAAATGATAGAACATTTAACGGATGATGAAGATTTTTTTATAATTAGTAGCAATTGTTATTTTTTTTAGAAAACCGAAACTTTCGTGCTAGACCTGAATATTTTACAGATTTGTGTGTGGAAATTGTACCTAAATTTGCCACAATAATAATTTAAAAATATATAAACAAAATGACAAACTCATAAACTTTTTTTTCTCTTCATGATTAGTCATAAACCAAAAATTTTAAAATAAAATTTTTATACGTTATGAACAAAGGACAGGATAAACCTATTATTTTGAAATTAACCCAGATATCATATCGACCCATGCAACGAAGACTATAGTAACTCAAAAAACGTGGGTTTTGACTTACTATATCAATAGATTTTTTCAAGCTCTATTTGGTGGAAGATTACAGTAACTCAGACATGAAACGATAGGCAACCAGTGAACAACTTCCCTGAATGGTAAGTGTAATAATCCACATTCCTACAGGAAAAAACTATATTAAGTTGAGTTACTCTGGTCTACAATCAAAACTGAGTTACAATAGTCTTCGTTGCATGGGTCGATATGTAAGATTTCGGATTATTAGAAAACCGCTCTGCCTACACTAGCTTGTCTGTAGTTTTTATGCCCCAAAATTAACAAAATAACCTTTTGCATATTAAAATTATTTTTTTTTATTATATTAAAGAATTTGTACATTTCCTATACGATTTTAATTGAGAAAGCCATGGCTTAGTCTTAAACTAATAGCTATTTACATACCATGGGAGGAAAATATTGCATTTCCTCCCGCGAATAGTTTGATGCCCGACGCGAAGCGAAGGGCATTAAATATTCAAGGGAGGAAATGCATTTTCCTCCTGAGGTATGTATATAGTTTTTTCTATTACCTTTTAACGGTTTTAAGACATTTTAAGCGTTCCGGTTCCTTTTACTTACCCGGTATGGGGCTATAAAATTATGACAAAATATTAAGTAGGTTTTGCGTCGCCGACGTTATGTTGACAACGCTTTGTTGCTATGGTATTTTTGGTAATACCAACATAACAGTTTTTATAAGCTGTCATAATGTTTATCATAAATTTAATAGTTGCAATTAATTTCCTTCCTTAAAAACTAAAATAGTGAATATGAATATAAAAAAAAGTTTGTTAAAAGAATTGTTGGACAAGCGCGGAGTAAATCTTTTTCCTACAAAATCAAATAAAGCTAGACAAGGTACAAAAACTCTTGCCAATATAAATTTAAAAAAAAAGAGGGCGAAAATTTACCTTTTACGAAGTTTTAAAAGAGGGGATACATGTCAAAAATAGGTGTAAATATTTACCCCCGTCTCCCTATTACCTCAACAAAATATATATAAATATATAAATATATACCATTTTCGAGATATCAACTTCTACACTAAAAAACCATGTATGCGTTTACCGGTATTACTTGAGTTATTCCCTGATATTCGACGATTGCGATTTTTATCATTATTCTTGTTCTTATTTATTAATAACAACATTTGTAACATTTCATTTTTTTAATAGGTATTTCATATTATTAAGTTTATGAATTATTTTACAATGAACTTCTTTGAGTGGGTACATAATATATACTTATTTATGCAAAAACCAACTGAAAATAATAAAATACTTAAGTCTATGTGTTTGTATATGTATATCTTAAATGTTAAAAGCGTTTTTATCTAATTTGAGTGTCGAGCGCTTTTGGTCAATGACGAAGAAGCATTAAAACATAACAATGTGAGAATGAATGTAAAACAAACTTTAAAATATACGAGAGTAAAATATGTTTAAGGCTAATAAAGTAGGTATAGGTAATAAATATTGTGTACATAAAACTAAATATGTCTTCAATAAAAGGAATTTTCATTGCAATTGCATAATAAAATTAATACATACAGCTTTTGCAGGTGCATCCCGAGGGCATATCTTAAAATAAATGTGAAAATACTTTGGACAGACTTCGAAGTTTTAAAATGATAAAGTGGACGATAACTGATGAGGGACCAAACTAACCTGTCGATGAAGAAGTTTGACGTCGAAACTGATTACATCACTAACAGGTTCGCCTTGAGGTGTGACGTAATAAACCAGTAGCTGACTGACAGGAGCCATGACTGATTGGACGTTGAAACTGAAAAAAACATATAAATAATATGAGAATAAAAAAGCGACCTTAAGTTTTAATCATTAAAAATCTTATTAGAAACTATGATTTGTTGGTGGCTTTATTTTTTATTTACTACAAAAAGTATTTTTTTTTTGGTGTAATTAATTTATTTGTAAATATTTTGTTCTTAAATAATTATAATTGAAGTATTTTTAATTAAATACGCTTAATTTATAAAGTGCATTTTATTAAAAATAAAAACACTGTGCAAGTCAAAAAATAGGTCAACCGGGGGCACCCCTTTATCGGGGTTTTTGTATTTATTGGTGGTTAGGTCATTTAATAAAAATATTTCAAATGTAAGAACATTTTGTCAGCGATCGTTCTTACCTACAACCATAAATCGGCAATAACCATTCTTTTGGCAGCGATATGACTAAACACCACTAATTATTTTAATAATAATATTGTTGCCATTTATTATTTTTAAATAATTGGTTTACTGTAATAGGTTAAAGAATGATTATTAATTATTAACCTATTTAATAAATATAACTAAAACATTTGCTAATTATTTAAATATTTATTTATTAGAAAAACAAATTAATTGAAAATGTAGTATTTAAAAAAGATGCTCATTATTTAAATAATTAGTAATGACAGAAACAATTAATGATAGTTTTTTAAATAGTTAGTAATTGAATGACGCCTTACACTGATCTTGCAGGGTTAATTTTTCCCCTTTTCGGTTCTATACGTATCCAGCCACTGAACAGAATTACCTTCCCTAGGAGTTCGTGGATGACAGTGTCGATGGTTAAGTCTATTCCCGGAATCTTATCGCCGGGCCGACCATACGCCCGATTTAGGCTAGTGGAGTGTAGTACAAGGAGGGACAGGGGGTTTTTGGGGGCCTTGAACTGACCCAAATCTAAGTACAATTCGGACTCCCCCTCAACCAGGGTATTAGTAATGACCCCATTCAATTGGGGTTCATGAATGAGGCATGGGATATGAGTACGTTACTTGTATTTCATACGGATCTCTGTCCCGTCTGCTGGAATTCGAAATCTGCTGCACGCAGTTATTTGCCCCACTAGGGTGTTGTTTTTACTTTCCCAAAACTCTTAGAAACACTCAAAAAGACTCGTTATAAGTTATTGACTCTTTGTTCCAGCGGAAAGGCAGTCGCTAATGGTTAGACAAATTTTACCGAATGCACAAGTCATTATTGGGTTTGGTTTAAAGTTTTTTAGAATAGTTTTTGTTTACTCACCTAATTATAATTATTTAATTTAACTAATAAGTAGTAGGAACTATTTATTGAAAATGACTATTCGTTGTTTTGTGGTTGTGATAGAAATTGTGTTTACGTTTTCTTTTCTTATTTAACAATTAATTAAGTTTTACTGCTACTACCATTTATTTTTTTATACTCGAGAAGGTCTCGCAGTTTGTTTATGTAAGGCAAGGATTAGAAAATGATTTGATTACTTACATACAATTTATGTGTTTATTAAGTACTACGTCACGCCCTATACGGCAGATTACTTTTAAGTCGTACTGCCTGTGCATTCGGAATATTTGGTCAATTAAATGTAGGGGTTCGTTAACCCTCTTTTATTCTTTCTTGTTAATTTCTACTGATTTGTCACTTGAGAAGGTATAAAACACACCCGTAGGCTCGGTGAATTCTTATTTACGCAAATAGCGAAGTGCAAATATTAAAAAACTAATCTGAATATGGATCCTCGTCCCCTTGTAATTGTTTTTTCCTGTTCAGGCGCTTTTAAACTTTTAGATTAGGTTTTAAATGCACCGACTATGCACTGTATACTTGTTTATAGTTCAGAGCAGAGAAACTATCACGTCTCGACCGTAGAAGTGTTGATTTTGTACTGCTAGTTTTTTAAATAGTTATTAATTGGGGAATAAAATTATTTATATTTATAAAAAAATTAATACCAAGTATTTGAATATTTACTAATACAAAAATATATTGCTAATAATTTGAATATTTACTTACTTACTAAAAATAGTAAGTATATTGTGCTCCAAGCCTCTTATTTTAAACAATAGTCCAGATCCCGTCCCATTCCTGTACCGTTTTTGTCCCGTTCGTTAACACAGTTCAAATAAAAATAAATTACAAACAAAACAACAAGTCATATGGGTCATAATCATAAGAATACTATATAAATAAAAAATAAATAAAATGACATGAAAAGCCGATAAATATATTTCATATAATTTGGGTGTTTTTATTAATATTTAAAAAGGTTGTATAGGTACTCAGATAAAGTAAGTTATGAGAAATTGTCATTTTATGACGAATAGTTGTACTATTTGTTTACCTTACCACGCAATTGAACGAGGATACGATTTTATATATAATAGTTATTTACGATATAAGTGGGATAAGAGCTTTATTAACGTAAGCATGCGAAATTTGCCCAACGAGTGTGTAGCACGAGTTGGGCAATCGCTAAAGTACGTTAATAAATCGTTATCACACGTATATTGTACAAATTTTTATCTACGCCTCTAAATGAAAAAATAAACGGTAATTATTTTTGTCTAAGACTTAATTTAGGGTTATTTTGAAATTTTGACATTTTGACTTTTTTATTTGATTGGTTAAAAGCAGAAAAAAACGCGTGCGTTAATGAACTTCTTATCTCACTCAAAATGAGTGGGATAAGAAGTTCTTATCTCACTGGCGTAGATAAAGAATATTATGGTTAATAAGTGTTATTATTCAATAGGTGAGTTTTTAAAGGACGACAATTTTAATTTCCCTGTGGTACTTATGTAGTTATTTCGTAAATTTTTTATATGTATATATTTTTTGTTACCTATTCTATTTAATTTATGCTGTGCATGTAACTTTGTATTAGTTTATTCCTTGTTTATTTTTGTGACGTGTTCTACACCCAATGGTACCTATGTATAATGCATTTTGAACTAAATAAGGATTATTATTATTATTAATATTATTATTATTATTATATAAATAAGTAGAAAGATCGCGAAATAGTACACTGAATAAGCTGTTGAAACAACAAAAAAAATATTAATTCAACTCTTTATGCACTTTAAATACAAGCAATGGTTTTTGCACGTTTACTTAACCATCTAAAAATGTCAAATTGTATTGTTTAATTGAACAACAAATAACAGTCAAATGAACAAAATAAGAATATTTGTTCTAATCTGCTAATTTGGTTAATTTAACATTCTTAGGGTGTTAAGGTAAATTTCTTGAAATGTCCAGGTAACCTTTTTAGCATATTCACTTAACACCAATAAAATGTTAAATTAACATTCTGAAAATGTAAAATTCTTTAAAGGTTGGTATCCAAAACAAAATTATGGAAATAATATATTATTATATATAAATAGAAAGAATTGAACCTTCACCTCGCCCAGAGTTTTTGTTTTGAGCGTGTTCCACCCATGATACATCTTTGTATCATGTGTTCCACCTACTTCAAATACCGACAGACTGTTTCGCCCTGTATTGAGGGTCTTAACAGTGTCGGGCAATATGGTGTAGTAAAAGTTCTACTGTGGAACACACCTTAAACAAACATATATCTCATCTAGCTTATATACACCTAATCGTAAGCTAACTAAGGCGAGATGTAAAAAAACGTCATTGTCTAATGACGTGGCGTGAGTGTTCGAAGCGCCATTCTCGGCAATTTTATGAATGCAAATTTTACATTTTAAATTTTAAAGTAACATTTTAAATTTGTTAAATGAACAAATTTAAAGTTTTGGATTAAAGAGCAACTAAACGTTAATTTAATAGTTTTTTTTAGGTAATCCTAAAAATTTCAGTAGTTGATTCAACAAATTCCAGCTATTAAATCAAAGTACGATAAACATTTTAATTCAAAATATTAGTTTATGTTAAGTTAATATTTAAACTGTCAAATGAACAAATAAACTTTGACAAACTCTGACTTTTGCTTTAACACCAAAATATAGATTAATCCAATAGGTTTTTTGTTGAAACAACATTTTTAAAAATGACATTTAGGCAAATGTTAACTCAACTACATTATTTTTTTCGGTGTAGGTATATTACATATCGAGTGTCAAAAGCCTGCGATTTCTGAAAAGTTTGAAGTTTGCTGCACAAGCCAAGCGAGTGTGGATAATTAGACTATTTATCGTGACCAGGCTGGTCAGACCAGCGCAACGAAAATTCGACTTTTGCTTTGCCTTTTAAGAGATAGCGAAAAAAGAATATTTAATATTTTTGCGTATTTACTTATATTCTTATAAGCGAAGCATAGTAAAGTTACCGCATAACAAAAATTAAATCGTACCAACCTAAAGACAGTTACATTTGCGTTTGTAGCTGTAGAAGAGAAACCCCATTTTGGGCCAAAATTTTTGGCATCGAGTAAACGGCAGGAAAAGTCGTATTTTCGCTACGCGTTATCATCGTAACAAAAGTACAACTTTTAATAATCAGCTGTCAAATGCTTATGTTACAAACGAGTGTTTTTGTGAATAAAGCCGAAAAATGTTAAAAAAATATCGAAAAAAAACCGTGGCACGATTTTTTGTGTCCTAGGTTGAGTTTTTACCGGTTTTCCAATAAACAGTGTTAATCCGAATGAAGAAATAAATTTCATACAGTCCCTGTAAATATAAATTGTATATATTAGATACAATAAATACACATTTTAGTTATGATAAACGTGAAAAGTGTAAACATTTCAATTCAGTAAAAATCGTCAAACAAATAAGTTGTCTAAATTTAAACAGCACTTTACATTATTAAAAGCGTTGATTAAGAAAGTCTCCACTCAACGGTAAAATACCATTATATTATGGATTATATATAATATTATGTTGCCATGAATTCGTAGGTATATTTTGTTGTTTAAAATGCAGTTGTCTGCGTTTTTTAGAGAACTCAAATTTAAAAATGGTTGATTTTAAGGTTATGTTTGTGCAAAAATTATTTTATACTAATTTCTTAAAAATGTCCAAATATATAAATATAA